GGAGCCTGGTGCCTCAAATCTATTCTCTCCATGATGCAAGGCTGACCTCCTTCTTCCTCTCGACTTCTAGCTCACCCCCCAAGTTGCAACTGCAGAAACCACAGGAGGCCTGTTCTTTAGAGCATCCCTCGGTTCCCAAAGGTACCAAGAGTCATTCCTCATCCTGGACAAATCCCAGCTAGAAAAAATGCCATGGCAGTGACTCTCAGTGAACAACCGACTTTGAACTTAGTGCCACTGCACAGCACAGAGCACTGGCTTGGATGTCGGAAGGCCTGGCTTCTAGATCAAGGCTTCCTGCCACTGACCTGCTGTGTGACCTAGCCAGTGCCACACTCCCCAATAGGCAGATTAAGTATACGCTTAGGCTACCAACAACAGAAGTGCAAAAGAGAGAGAGAATGAAAACAATCTAAGAAGAAGTCATTTTAATTTCAACATACATGTGGAGCTCTGAGTAATTTTCAAAAATAATATTTTATTTGAAGGTTTAGTATCGCTTTCATTTCGAATTATGTATGGAGAGGCGCTATACTCTTTTTAGCACTTAGGACTACTGAAGGTCTTGACCCAGCTGGGTGCCTTTGGACAGGTCCCTTCCGTTTTCTGGGCCTCAGGAGTCAAGTGTTGATGCCCATAATGGATAATGACTGAATTTTTGGTGCCACATAGTATAAACCGACTCTACCCAGGCCAGAGAAGCACAGAGACACATGATGCAAATTCACCACTCTCCTCCTGACACCTAATCCACTTTGTAAAGGTCAAAGTTGAGCCCAAGAGCCATAACTTGAATCTTCGCCTATTACTCTACTATTCTGTCATCCTGACGCTTTTTATCACTTTAGCTGTCCTTGTGTCTAAAAAAGGAGAAGAGTAAACTTCGTGTTTCTAGAGTGGAGGAAATTCTAGTGGACATTTTGGTGTCCAAATTTCCAGGGAAGATGTTTTCAACACATGGAAATACCATGAAGCAGATCAGGAATTTCATGGTATTTAAAAGAAAATGGGCGGGGCCGGCCCGGTGGTGCAGTGGTTAAGTGCTCACCCTTCCCGCTTCACGGCCAGGGGTTTGCCGGTTCGGATCCCAGGTGTGGACATGGCACCGCTTGGCAAGCCATGCTGTGGCAGGCATCCCACATAGAAAGTAGAGGAAGATGGGCACAGATGTTAGCTCAGGGCCAGTCTTCCTCAGCAAAAAGAGGAGGATTGGCAGATGTTAGCTCAGGCCAGTCTTCCTCAAAAAAAAAAAAAAGAAAGAAAATGGGCTTGTTCCCCCTCTCCATTCTGTCAAGCCACTGTCTCAAGGGTCTCTGGGGATGACAGGTAGGAGAGAGATAAATTGAGGCTGGCAGAGTGCCTGTTCCAAGTCCACAAAGTTCCCCTGGCTCCAGTCGACTCAAGCAGGCCATATCGCTCCTCAGTAGCAATGAGGACCACATTTAGGGTCTGCAACACCTCGTCTAATGGTAAACTGGCTACAGTCTAGAAGTGCAGTTTTCATTTTTTCATCTCCGTATAGATTTACAACAGTCTCTCCTCACACTGGAATTATGATTTAAACATAAATAAACCAGCTGTCCTTTCTGATTTGAAGTTAGCGTTGCCACAAAGTGGGAAAATCAAGAGGCAGGAATTTTACATAAAGATGAAGAGGGAGTTTCCACCATTGACCCAACTGGCTGTATTCAAACCAAAATAATTGCAAGAAGGAATAGAGCATCTTTCCCACAGCAAGTTCCCAGGCTAGTGTAACATGAGAGCTCCCCAGTGTTATTAAACATACCTAGAGTTGTCTAGTGCTTCAGTGACTTCCTGGCTTGCACAGGAGAGATTATACCCCTAGGCCAATGGCCTGATTGCTTTTGTTATTATTTTCTAAGCACCTACAAACATTAAATAGATCTCCAAGGGAGGAATTGGAAAGTCTGGGTTGATCAGCATATGGCGGCAGGCATGGAGCTATTTCCACTGGCTTTGACCATGCCATTTTTGAGATGAAGAGCACAGACTACAAGACACGAATACAATAAAACGGGTCACATTCAAAGCCGGGATGTTATAGGCAGGGCCATGCCAATGATGTGACAATAGCTACAGATCCACAACCAGAGGAGCCTGGTGCAGTCTTGTAGCACAGCCTCTCCTTCCAATTCTCATCCCCCCACCCCATACCAGTTACAAGAGCTTCTGGGGCAGTCTCAAAGGGATTCAAGTTACCAAAGGACAGCCTTCAGTGGAGGAGAGGGTGTTGCCAGGCAACTAGCCCAGCCCAGTCCCATTCTTGTAACCTGGAAGATGGTGGGGGTGGGCATGACCCCTGATTTATAGAGGAGCACCTTCAACTCCTTTAGCATCAACTTTCTCCTCCTCTCTCCCTCTTCTTCTCCTCTCCCTATCCTCCACCTGCTGCCTCCCAGGGCTCCAGCCTGGCCTGCAGTCTGGTCACCGCAAGCCTGAAGGCTATAGGCCAGTCTGACTTGCTGTTACTCAGTCTGTTACTCAGTTCATAGATGGCAGCCAAGCTGTCCCTACAGAGAGGCTACAAGCTGCTGGCCTGTCAGGTGTTATTCACTCCGGCCATGTCGTTTCCAAACCTTCCTCCCTCCTTCCCGGGTCTTTCCTGTGCCCATGGTCAAAGAAATCGCTAGAAGAAGAATTTGGGGGAAATCCAACCAGATGGAGGGTATATAGGGTAAAATGCAGACTGGGAGGGCTGACCACCAGCAAAATGGTCAGTAAAAGAGTAGGAGTGCTAGGAGGAAAAGGCACAGGGAAGAAAAGAAAGGGAAAGACCTGACAATGATTTTTTTTAATGCTATTTGTTGGGGGTCAAAATATAATATACAGCCTGCTGAACACCTTGTTGAAGCTTATGCCTGAGCGACAAGGGGGTGGCCAGATGGCGCACTGATTATGCTCCCCAACTCTCTTTGCACTTGGCACTTCTGCTCAGACCATTGCTGAGAAGGCCTAATTTAAGTGCTACGCAATCAAAGCACCTGAAGAGAAAAGCGTGCAGTGGGAATCTCAAGGGGAGTCTAGGGCAGGGCATTAGACCAGAAAACGGAAAACCGACCTTCCTGCCAAATTAAGGTAGCCATGTTCCATTTATGCAGCAAGCCCCTCAGTGCCTCTGAGCCCAGAGACATGTAACATTCTCAAAGGCAAGTGGCCACACCAAAGGTAAGAGATGGCCACTCTCCCAGCTCTTGCAAACTTCAAAGAAGTCAAACCGATGCAATTTATCCTCAGAATTGCTCCCTTCGTTTAAAAGCTACCCATTGCATAAAGCCATCTTTTTCTAATGCAGCAGATCACTGGAAAAGGTTAGGTCCCAAGGCAACTTGGTGATGCCATGCCTTCCTTCACATGGAAAGGGCGCTCCAATTCAGTGCACAGAAAAACACAAGTCAGAAAAGCAGAGCCTCCTCCCTGTCCTTAACTTACCCTGCTGACCCCAGTAGGTGGCTTTCTGCAAACTGTGTGGTGATTTTGAAAACTACTCCCCAAGCTGACTGATCAAATTTCTCCTAAGCTAATCCTGGTAGTCAGTGGGACCCCAGCGGAAAAAAAAAAAAAAATCAACAAAGACCTTCTTACCCTCTTTGTTAACTGAAAACTAACCAGACCTAAGGCCCCAGCTTTCCTGGTCCCCTGCCAAGCAGAGGTTCCTGGTCCCATGTCTACATTCATCTGGCAGTCATCTGTGTCTTCCACCTTCCGTTTCCCACAGGACTCAGTTCATTTTTCTCTACCAGTGACCTCCACCATCTACCTCACAGGTCAGAGACCTTTTTGAAGAGGGGTGCCAGGGCCTCTGACTCCTGTCCTACTGGAAGGGGTGGTGGCGAGCTGGGGTCTGCGATGGAGAGGGGCTGACCCAGGCAATTCTTTCCCTAAGGCAGCTGGAGACTTGCACTCAAAAGGGAGCCAGTAGCCATCTTCTGCCTCCATCTGACACTTTCTGGCCACTTGCTCCTTCTCTCCCCTAACTTTCTGGTGGTGCCAATTGGCCCTGGTACCTGGCATGCCCCAGCTGTGGTCAGCATTTCCAGCACATTCAGTCCCCTTGCTTTCAGCAGAAGTCCCACACTCTAAGGGATCATCGCATTTCCACGGAGAGAGGATTCTCCATTCAAAGTATTGGGATCCAAAGTAAAGGACAAGGGCTCGCACTGCCCTCCTACCCTCTCACGGGTCCCGCGTGCTCAGCCAGGGCACCACTGGGTTTCTCGGTCATGGCTGATTCCTAAAGGAATCACGAAACTAATGACAGCTGCTTTAACTGGTTCCCTCGAGCAAATCTGTGCAGCTGGACCCCAGGGGTAGGGGGTCAGTGAAGCCAGGGCAGTCTCTCTTTCCCCGCACGCCCCTCTCGCCACTCCTGGTGCAGCGGCCCGAACTTGTCGGGAGAAGCAGGAGGGAGGGCGCTCAAACACTCAGTGAGAGCCGCGATCACATTCCAGCGCGAAGTTGCACAGGTTTAAAGCCAGTAGGCACCGCCGCCAGGCTCCTGCGACCGCGTAGGTAGCCGGCGGCTCGAGCGCGCTTTCGGAAGTGGCCGAGCTCCTAGAGTGGAGCAAAGACGCCAGAGGCGGGGCCATTTGGTTCCCGACGCCGCGAAGATGGGGACGCCTCGGGCCTGGGGGCGGCGCCGAAGCCGTCCCAGACCCAGTGGCTCACAGGGACCCTGTGGGGCCCCCCTTTCCCTCCCCTAGGTCCCCAGGAGGTGGCCGCCAACTCTGCAGCCGGGAGCCCCGAGGGCACAAGGCCACTCAGGACGGTGCGGCGGGATCCGGGAGCAGGAAGTTCCAGCGGGAGAGCGGCGGGTGGGGAGTCAGGGAAACGGGATCCCCTCACTCCCCGAGGGGAAGGGAGGGAAGGGAAGAGGAGGGGCGGGGAGGACGGCAGAGGAGGTGGGCGCAGAGCCGGACGCCTACCGGCGCCCCCAGAGGCGGGGTAGACGCGGGGCCGCGAGCCGCCCGGGCGCGATTTACCTAGCTCTTCCTCGTCGTCCTCCAGGCCGAGCAGGCGGCAGGGAAGGCGGCGGCGGAGGCGCACGGTGCGCCGGAACAGGCTGTCGGTGCGGCGCCCCAGGGCCAGCAGGTGCCCCTCGAGGTCCTCGAGCAGAGCCAGCGAGTGGCCACAGAGGTCGGCGAGCTGCCGGAGCAGGCTGAGCGCGGCCAGGTGGCTCACGTCGCGGAGCTCGGTCAGCGGCTGCGGCGGGTTGCGTGGGCACAGGCGCTGGGGCACTACTGTGCGCCTGTAGAACGGCATCCCGGGCGCGGGCGCGGTGGACCAGCCGGGCAGCGCGGCCGGCTCGCCCAGAGCGGCGCCCCCGGCCCGAGCGCCCCTGAGCGGCGGCCCCAGCTCCGGGAGTAGCAGGCCCCTAGGCGCGGGCCGGCGAGCGGGCGGGCGCCGAAGACGCCGGGCGGGTGGGCGGGCTGACCGGTTCCCAGCCTGGAGCGCCGGCTCCCCCCCGGGGCTGCACACTCGAGCCACCAGTCCCTCTGACTCTGGTTCGCTGGGCTCCTCCTCCTCCTCCTCCCCGCCTTTCTCCACCTCCTCCTCCCTCCCTCTGCTGCTTCGGGATCCCCCCACCCACCTTTTTTTTTCTTTTGCGGTCAGAGATTCGCAGATTAACGCTTGATCCGGGAGAGGAGGGAAAGGGAAGTGGGAGTGAAAAGAGCGAGCTGGAGCGTGAAAGAAGGAATGTCTGCGTGAGTGGGGTGTGTGTGTGATATTCGGTGCCGTATGTGTGCCCGCGTCCTCCTGCGGAGCTCGAGTCCCAGTACCGATACAGTTTTCTGCCTTGTTTTTTTTTTAACTTCAACGTTTTCTTCATAAATAATAAAAATTCAAGCGTTCTCGTCCACACCAGCGAATAACCAGCTGAGACCGACCAATAGCCTGACTTCATTCATCTAACTTTCCTTCCCCGAATATGTACTCGGTGCCACGCACGGGCTAGACGAGGCTGTGAGTACAGCAGTCTAGCGCCCAGGAGCTTGGAAACGAGGGAGGAAGAGCCAAATATCTCACTTGACTGCTCAGGAGGGCAGTATCTCTGGGAGTCCCAGGGTGCCTGGACTGCTGTAAAGGCTCTGGAATGAATGAATGAAAACAAGCCCATTCTCTGGTACCAAAGATTCAGTTCGGATAGAAGGACACCGCTCCGTATTTTATGCAAAAAGAGAGCCTAGAGCCACCTCCTCCTGGCGGGGCCTGCTAGCTGAGGTGGGTGCCATCTCTGGCGGCGTTGGGCTCCAGGGGTGCCCCCTGAGGAGGCCGTACAGGAGCCGGGGTGTGCTTTCAGTGCTGGTAACCCTGTGGTCATGTCCTGATTTCTCCCCATTCTAGAAGGTAGGAGACAGGGGGACACTAGTGTCCTCAGAAAACCAGAGCGCCTGAGTGTATGTCCCTGTGCACTTGAGGAGTTTCCACTCGGAACACATTTTCAACACACTGAGCGCCCGTCTGATTCTCCTCTAACCCACTTCCTTGACTTTGATGTGGTTCCATTTCTTCTTTCTGGTAGTTCTCGTCTGGTCTTTCCTCCTAAAATGTTCCCATCTTTATTATCCCTTATAATGTATTAGTAAAACACCTTGCACAGAATACGTGTATCTGCACTAATGATCCTGAGTGTGGCCTGTGCTCATTTATTCCTTTAGGGAATTGTCCCTTAAGCAGTGCAAGAAGGCTCTACAACTGGTTAAGAGTAATCCGATGAGCCTTTGTAGTAAATAGCTGTCTCTTGTTCAGTAAATTGGAACATGGATACTAGAAAAGTTGGGTTCTAATTAAAATAATAAACAAATGGGCAAAAGACAAACCCTTTTCTGATCTGTAAAATCCAGTTGCAGAATGAGGACCTGAAATTCTCTATTTGGCAAACTCAAACCTGAGCCAAGAGAGTGACTGGCAGGAAGTAGGACTTGGCTGGACTCTCAAGGGATACTTTTCCTTGACCTACGGACTGTTTAGACTGATCTCTGTTTGGAAGAAAAAGAAATGAGGTATGATCAGATTGAAGGAGACTGTGTGGGCAGAGCTTTGCTGCCTGAGGGCAGCGGGCCTAAGCTGGGCCTAATGTCTGATCCGCCCTCACTACTCCAGTTCCTGAAGCTGATGAATCTTTCAGGGTTCTATAATTAACAAGCTCAACTCCAAGCAAATCAGTGTTGGCCCCACGCCCTTCCCCCCAGCCCAGTCCCCTCACTCCAGCCTCTTCAGTGCACTGGCCCTGGCTTTCATCAAGGAAACATCAAGGACTTGCAATGGGGCCACCTCAGAACAGAGCCCCTCCTCCCTTCCCGGGACCAAAGCAGGACTACATGTACTGTGGAAGAAGTCAAGGGAATATAAGTTTTCACCTTCCTTCTTATCTCCAGTCTCTTCCCAACCAGAAAGATGAGACCTTGAGTGAGAGGCAGGCCTGGCTGTAGAGAGCCTCGGAGAAGAAGCACAGGAGCCTGGCTCTGGTCTTTGGAGGGAGAGTTTTGGTTCTAGAAGTGCCATACTCCAGCTAAGCTATCTGGTAAAGCTAAGGTAAAGGGTTCTGTCCCATGATGCTCCCACAACACCCTCCAGCACAGCATCCGCACAATCATCCTTGTTTAATAGTAATAATATTTCATTTGTAATAATATTGTCTCTCCTACTAGCCTGTTAGCTCCATGAGGGCAGGAATCAGGTCTGTCTTGCCCACTGTTGTATGCCCAGTGCCAAACCCAGTGACTGGCCCGCAGTAGGTACTTGGAAAATGTATGTTGGTGAATGAACAAATGAAGCTTGATTATAGGCAGAGCCTGGTCTGAAGAGCCTTCCTAAAGGATTTAACTTGGCCCAAGTCAATGGAGAGTCACTGTGGATTCTGGAGCAGAACACTGCCTGACACAAGGAAGGAGATGCTTGACGACTTTTCATCTGGAAGCAGTGAGAAGAGGCAAATGTGGAGGGCAAGCTTGCTACGCCCTACCTGCGCCCACATCCCCAGGGCCGAGTAGGCAGAAAGTGCTCTGTGAATTAAACATTTTCTTTGATTTGCCTATAAACATTCAGAAGGAGAGAGAGAGGGAAGGTGCAAAGGGGAGAAAGGGGAGGCCCTTAACAACCAAGCCAGACCTGAAAATACTGAGTGCTTCCTAGCCACCTACCAACTCCCAGACTCCAGGCCTGCGGCAGTTCATCTGTCACTGTGCTCAGAATTGCAATCCGAGCCTAAGCTGGGCCCACCTGTGGAATCAGATATGGGTCTGGCCCGGAAGCGGAGTCTAACGAAGAGTGGCCAGAGAAGTAGAAGGGAAACGGGAGAGTTGACCACTTATGACCAGCAAGGCCCCTGCTTTCCTTCCCACCTCCGTCCTGCCTAACTAATTGCTGCTAAGAACCTAGAATTTCAATAAAAACTGATTTGAAAGAATAAATAACTAACATAGGATATGCCATTTATCTTCCTCCAAGCTGGCAGTTTCCACAGCTGCAAAATGAAAATTTATGAGCGAATCTCATGCAACCTACCTAGCTTCCCAGTGCAGCCCTCAGTCTTATTTCTGGATGAAAAACAAGAAAGCTGCCCCCATGTTGCTACCTCTCAAATATACCCAAATGGTAGCATCTTGGCAACTAGGCAACGATGCCAGTTTTTTCCTTGACATTCCTCTATAGTCAACTAAGTGTTTTATCTAAGTTGTAAGAATATACATTCTACCCCACACCCTCTTGCCATGAGACGCAGTAAAGATGCTTTCCTTATGAATGAAAAAAAATATAGCCAGTAGGGGGATGAAAAGGCTGCTCCTCAATTCCAACTCTAGCTTTCTGTTGTTTCCTGGTTCTAAGTGTCTGTACCAAGACAAATTAACAAGAATTGGCAAATACTAGACTGACTCTTTTTCAAAATGTCATTTACCCTTTTTGGTATTAATGCTTGGCTCTGCAGTTAAGAACCCAAGTAAACTCTCTCTCTTTAGACAGTCCCAAAGAAAGTAGCCCAAAGAAGGCCAACTGGCCGCTTTTAGCTTTTCAATCAGAATAAAGCCCAGGATTCAATCAACAATGCAGACAAAACTCATGCTAATCAATGCCATACTCTGAAAAGAGTGGGAGCAGAGCAGTGCTGCAAGATTTGAGAGGGGAGAGCACGTTTCTGCCCTTGAGGCAGTGAGGCTTCAGAACGGGGAGGGTGCGCCCCAGAGCTGGGCCTCCAGGGGTGGACTGGAAACTTACACAGCTATCAATCACCTTCTAGGGCAATAGGCGTGCAAGCCGAAGACGGCTCAAGGTCCTAAAGTAAATTCCTTTCAGCCCAGACTCTATGCTTCACACACACACAGGGCAAACCCTTCAAGAATTCCATGAGGAAATAAACCTTTATTTCAAAAAAAAAAAACAGTCACCAGTTAACCAACTCAATAACCTCCTCTCCATATTTATCATACTCCACCTCTCAGTAGCATTTGACAATGATGACCACATTCACCTTCTTGAAACTCAGTTCCACCTTCACTTTCAGAATACTACTATCCTGATTCTTCCCTAGCTCTCTAATAGTGTCACCTCCCAATACAAGTTTCTATTCTAGCCTTCTTATTGGGAGACAATTCTCCATGGTTCTCTCGTGTTTCTGCATATCTTGCAAGCAGAGGCACTGACTACCTTTGTTCCAAACTATCTTTTTAAAGGATATTTGAATAATGAACAGCCTTGGAGGATACAGAAAATATCCAGATCAAGTGTGCTTATGGTCTAGCTTAATAAAGATAATGTCTTTCTCTGGGATGAAGAGAAACCATACTTCCTGCCTATTATAAAAGATTCAGGGGTGCCAGCCCCATGGCCGAGGGTTAAGTTCGTGTGCTCTGCTTCGGAGGCCTGGGGTTTCACTGGTTCAGATCCCGGGCATGAACATAGCACCACTCGACAGGCCATGTTGAGGCAGTGTCCCACATGCCACAACTAGAAGGACCCACAACTAAAATATACAACTACGTACTGGGGGGATTTGGGGAGAAAAAGCAGGGAAAAAAAGATGATTGGCAAGAGTTGTTAGCTCACGTGCCAACCTTTAAAAGTAAACAAAAGATTCAGATTCCCTAAGCTTAGAGTTCTTCTCTTCTAATGCTACCCACTGCATGTGCAGGTGACACATGGACTTCTTTGCATTGCTCTCAGGCACGTGGGGCTCAGGGAACCAGCATAAAAATGCTAATGCTCTGGCTACTCCTATTACTATAATAAAGTCCTTTGTCTCTGACCTAGGAATCTCGTGTCTTCAGCTTGTGTCTATGAAACTATGGCAGGCTAACTCGTTAGCATGCAAGTAAGGTAAAACCTCAGAGCCTTCACAGTTCTTGATACATCTCATCTCACACTACACTCTA